GGCGCCTGAGACAGAGAAATGAATGAAACGAAGTGCTAATTTATTGATGATCTCTTTAGATTCGCGAGGGCACAGCCTCGCTCCTCTTCCACCGCAGCCTGGACGGCTGTCGAACCAATCGGAGGTAGGAGTACTCCACGGCTCCCAACTTCAGGAACACTTTACTCCCAGTCCAGCCCACAAACCCAGCGCCAGGGCTCTGCCAAGGTTCCCCAAGAACCAAACACTCCAGTTCAACTCCGGAGCCTCGGCGCCGTTTCGGCACCGAGCGAACTCCGGACTTCGCAGCGCACAGCGCGAGATTCCTTCCACCTGTCCGTCCGCCCGCCCGTCGAAGTGCGCCAGACCCCGCGCCCGCTTACTTTGCCGCTGTCGCTCACACCGAGGAGGTGATCCCGCAGCACCTCCATGGGGCAGGTCCAGGTGGAGTGGACGAATGTCCCTCGGAAGATGTGCGCCAGGGGCGGCATCTGGGCGGCACACATGTCAGCGGTGGAGCGCAACACGGAGTCCGCGGGCCAAAGCGGGTGCAGCCGGCGGAGGCGCGGCAAGGACTCCCTGCGGCTGCGGATAGCTGCGGAGCCGGCACGGACTCCGCCGGCCTTGTCCTGCCCCCGCTTGCCGGCTGGATTGCCTGCCCCCTGCAGGCCGCGCCCAGGGGCTGGCTCCCTGCCTCCTCGATGCCAATAGGATTTTTCTCCCGTAGGTTGGCGCCCGTCTTTCTCTCCTCCCCTGCTTTAGTTTTCGATACGTTAACTCTTTGAGTTTCCAAAATCGCCGTTCACGTTGCAGTTCTTTTAATCCGTGGTGGCTGTCACCCACCCAGGGGGCGGGAGATGAAGGAGTGAGGATTCAGGATTTCAGCCCTGTACCTTTCAACTGGTCACTAAATTTGCTTTTGTCCCTGGCCCCCAACATCCTCAACCTTTTTTAGTTGGCACACCCAGAGTTGCGTGACCTGCTTTCTCAACCCTTTAAACTTGTAGAGCTATTTGTGGCCACACCCTGGACCTTTCAACCTCTATCACCCACAAGGTCTGAACTGAAACAAACCAGTTCTATGCCAGTGACAGGTCTGTTAGGGCTGCCTACCTTACCAACTCGTTTCATTTTCAGTTTCGGTGGGCTGCAGAATTTGTCTAACCTTATGCTGTGGAAGCGTATCTTTATGGGAGGCCACCACTGAAGGTTCACCCAGACCACAACGTTCCTCTCTTCATCTTGAGGCCAATGTTTTGGCCTTTGTGCACACCCACAAACAATTCCAACTCCAATTTTTCTCAAACCCAAAATAAATGAATCTCTTTGATTTACTCCCAGTTGTACAGAAGGAGAAAATTAAGTACTCAAGCCAAGTAGCTAGAAATGGCAGTGTGGCATGGCTTGGTGGAAAGAGTACTGGATTAGGGATCAAGAGGCTATAGTCAATGCAAGTGGACCTCAGCATTCTTATCATCCTTGTTTGTGAAGATGGAACTTGAACTGGGTGGTTACTAAGACTGATTCTAGGTCAGCATTCTGTCCTGACAGTACAAAGTCCTTTATTAAGTTCCCGGAGGAAGAACAACTGGTTTCCACTCAGGGCTTTTGCACATGCTCCTCCTTCTGCCACTAATGCCTCCTGTAGATCCTGTAGATGCTCACATGACCAGCCCTTCTCATCACTGGTTTATCTTAAACATCAGCTCTTTGGAGTAACCTCGCTCCAACACCAAGTTAGCACATCTCCATCCCCAGCAGTTTCTATTGCATTAATTTATCTTATTTTTGTCACTGCATTTATTGTATCCATCCTCATTTACTTTATGCTTTTTCATTTATTTCTGCTTCCTTTCCCCCAATACACATACACACACACACACACACACACACACACACACACAGAGAGTAATGGAAGCAAGAACAGAGCTCTTATGCCTAAAACAGTGCCTGATCTTTCACACATATTTACTCAATAAATGAAAAAATTAATTAATGGTTTTTTTGGAAGCACAGCAATAACTTGAGATAAATATCTAATTTGGTTCCTACATAAAGGATAAGAGTTTCACATTGCTGTGCATGAGCAGGCTTTCTGATTTCTCTGCTGCTTTTATGACACAGGAGTGGCTTAAATGATTCATCCCCTCAATTCCTTCCCCTCCCCACAGACCAAGGCCTAGAGTGACCAACTCACCCCAGTATATGGGGGACTTTGTTGCTTTACCACTGAAAGTCTTGAGATGCAGGAAACTCCTCAGTCCCTAGAACACCAAGCTGGTCTTCACCCTGACAAGAACTCAGACTAGGAGGCCCTGAAGCTGAGAGCATTGCTACTTGCCTCTGGGAGATGTCAGACCTTTCTCTTTCATTTTCTCCTGGTTCTGCAGACCACATTCCCTCCTTGCAGCCAGCACACGGAAGACATCCTCTAGGTTTATACACACACAAACCTCAGAAAGAAAAGTGAAGAAAATGTCTGGTGCTTATTGTAAAAGAGCTGTCAATTAAATGTTTCTAAAAGATGTACTGGTATAGGTACAGCTAATTTTTTTTTAATGGAAGTCACATAAATGTCCAACAATTTAACCTTGTTTAGTGAGTTAAAATCTATCCACTTAATAGAGTATTATTGTTATTAAAAACAATAGCAGGTCTATGTAGCAATATTGGAATTACATATAATAAAGTGTTTTTTTTAAATGGCATTTATGCTATGGTTAACACCATGAAAAGCCTATAGGTGTAAGGGCTAGAATTAAAAGTTATATCAAACAATGGCAATTGTTCTGTTGAGGTAATGGAATTGCTGGGGAATTGTGTTTTAATGTTTACTGAAGTTGTTATGTGTGGATTATGGAATGACTAATCATTCTGCAGCTTTGAATAAAGCTAATCTTCTTAAACAGAAGATATGACTGTGGGCCTCTGGGTGACATGGCATTAGTGCTTCTCAGGGAAGTGTTAGTTCTTCCAAGTAGGGCACAGTTTCCCTTCCATTCCCAGCCTAGGTGTAGGCACCTCGCTCAGGATCCAATTAACTCAGCTTAGCCCACACATCAGGAAGTCTTGGTTTCCCAACTAGTCTCACCCATTCTCCACCCTCGGACTCCTTTAAATTGCTGGTCCTCCTGAAACTTTGGCTCCCATCCTGGTTATCTCTAGGGAAATGTTCTCAGGGCTACTGAGGTTTGGAGGAAGAAAGGAGTGCAGAGCTTTTATATTCGCCTTTGAAACATAGCCCAAGCACTCTGTAAGCCATTCTCTGGTTTAAAATAGTTATTCTGACCAGAGCAAAGTATGTGAAAACAGTGTTTACTGTGCCTCCAAAGTCTCAAGAAAATAGCAGTTCCTATTCTTCAGCTCTTTCTAAAGCCCACGTTTAAATTCATGCAATATTAAAACGGAAAGAGCTTTAGAGATTATTATTCAATGTGCATTTCACACCAAAATTGTCTATGATCACTGTTTCCTGCCAGTAATGGCTCCTTCCAACACTTACCAACTCAATTTCTCAAAAGGAAATCCAACAGTGGTATGCACTTTCAGCACCCTATCCTTATGTATCACTTCCAATGGAAGAAGAGAGACTCTCCATGGTATGGATGCTTCCTGAAGCCCTGGCTGCTTCTTCAGGCTCTTCTCCTTTCAGTATCCCACATTTGCTCACAACCTCTGCCTGCATCGCCCTTATGTCACCTTACACTGCACCTGCCTCATTTTACTGCCCACTCTCCCCTAGCTAAATCCCTCAGCTTAATTGCCCATCCCCACCCCCTCTCCAGGAAACCTTTACACCTCCTCTCTCTCTCAAGTGTTAAGTGCTCCTCCTCTGAGCTTGTGGGGTGTTGTAAGTATTCCTTTATCAGTGTGTCTCCCTGAGGAGATTGCTGTTTCCTTAAGGACCACATCTTCCCTCCCTTCTTTCTCTGTATCCCCTTAACACACTGCCTGACCAATAGTAGCTGTTCAACAGACATATAGATGTTGAATTTCAAGAGATGGCTATATCGTCTATATTTTAGTGATTAAAAAAAATAAGAGGCCATACTAGGTATGTGCTAATGGTGAGCAATTCATTGAGACTAGACTTAAAGTTTTATTTCATTTATTTAGTTTTCCAAAATTTTATTATGGAAATTTTCAAACATACAGGAAAACTGAAAAGCTTCATTTTTTAAGATCACATTTCTCCCTACTTTAGCTGGAGGCAAGTGGTCTCAAAACTCACCCGCAACTGGGTGGGATCAGTATAAACTGAACATCTAATTGCCTGAAGCAAAGAACAGGATGACAGCTTGATCAACTTTGACATTCTGATCACCTTATTAGTGTAACTATACCTGCAGTTAGTCAGTCTCTCCTGCTAGATTGAACGTGACTGTTTAAAGAAGCTCTCTCTTTTACTATTTCATTTTGAACCTCACAGCAACCCTATAGAACAGGAAGAGGACATATTTTAACCACTTCAGAGCTGGGGAACTGAGGTTCAGAGTGACTGGCTTCCCTACCCAGTTAGTACAGGTTCGACCTGGGTTTTGACTCCAGTTATTCTCACTCATTGTCTCATCACAGTAGACTGTGAAGAATTTTCCATTCAATTTTGCCATGACTCGCTTGGTCACTGCATTGCGGGTTGTCATCTACAACTTTCACATTGTACATGGTTTTTCAACAGTTACCAGTGAGACACAGATCTAACCTGAAGAGATACCAAAGGAGGAATAGTGGACCTTGAGGAGATGAACAATCCAATTAGCGTAAGTCAGCAAAATGATCTCGTGAAAATAACTCACATTTTCAAGAGGCACAGAGAGTGAAGGGCAGGCGGGTTAAATGAGAAGCCACTTTCCTCTCCTATCCAGGAGAGAAGTTTTCATTGCACAGTGAAATAAATGCCTGCCTATTTTATTTATTCTTTTCGTGTAGCTAAATCTATCAGTTTCCATGGTGCCCCATGTTCACCATGGAAACTCTGACAAGCTCTTTATGTTTCAGGAAAAAACACACACACACCAAAAACCTGAGATGGGATAAATGCATTCCTTTTAAAACTGTGTTGTTCTGAGTAGGAAGCCTTGATAGATAGCAAATCATAATGGTCTTGATTTAGTAGTTCTTAAGTGGGAACACGCGTTTGCATACCCATCAAAGGAGCACCCTTGCTCCCTCCCACCACCAAATCACTATCTGTACAGCAGTAGTTATGTCTGTATCTCACTTCTGCATTTAATGGCAGCAGAGACATGGCTCAATCTTCATTTAGCCAATTTTTATAAGAATATAGTACTAGCCCCTACACATTTTCTTCTGTTTTACATTCAGCCAATACTTATTGGTAATCTATATTATGATAGGTGCTCTGCTAGGCTCTGTGGATGGGAGAATATATGAGGCAGATATTGTCTTGCCCATATGCAACTTATACTAATTTTTCTCTCTGTCACCTTTAGGAGTAGGAATTAATCATTTGCATAGTAGTACCATAACATTTCCCTAGCATGACTGGCAAATAGTATATTATCATATATACTACACACCAAATTGCAAGTAATATGAATATAATAAAACACACTTAAGGCTGAAGCTGAAGTGACACATATATAACAGTACTGAAGTACATGATTTCTTTAACATTGTTTTAAAGAAGTCTATATTTTTAAGGAGCTACTTTATTACTTTTGTAAAATTGATACGTT